GTTTTCTAGATTTGTTTCTTGAAGTAAAATAATGTCTAAGTGGTATGATTTTAGTAGGGTTAATGTTCTATGTGCTTTGTTTTTGTTGTTTAGACCCTTAACATTTAGTGTTGCGATTTTGATTTTTTTAACCATTAGAAAAAAAAATAGTTTTAATAAAAGAGAAAGTTGATCTAATAAGGGTTTCTTCTAACCCCGTTGTTCTCTTTAGGTCTATGGCTATTTGCATGCAGATCTGTAGCCTTTGATCGGTTCTTGGATTTTCTTTTTTTGGAGACTAATGTAAAGCCATCGTCCTCCGTGTTCCAAACATTGGCTGTCAGTTCTGGGCTATTGTTGTATAAGGTGGCTAGGGGGTCTGTTAGTAGCTCTAGTCTAGAGCTGGGGTTACTATTTTGAGTTGGACTTGTTTCCATATCTGGAGATTCAATTTGGATAGTTTGGCTTTGAGCGAATTGGTTTTCTGCTTCTGCCATTTCTGCCCATGCTAACTCTGGTTCGACTTCTTCATCCATCTTTGTGGTGGTTGAGGCTGAGATTTTTTCAAGCTTCTCTATATTCATGTTGTGTTCTTCGTTCGTCACATATGGATTTGCTGGACTTGGTGTCAGAGGTTTTTCCATTTGTCGAAGAAGTTGTTCAGTTTCTAGTTTCTTTTGTATTTTGCGATCTCTATGAAGGTTTCTGATTTCTACTGATAATTTGTATTCTGGGCAATCTCTTTTGATATGTCCTGATTTGTCACAAAAGTAACAGAGTTTTGGAGCTTCTCTCCAGTCTGTTGTTACTTTATGACCCCCAACATGTGTAAATCTCGGGATTCTGTCTGTAAGATCTGGGTCTTCGGTTGTTTCGAAGATTACAACCCATTGGTCTGAAAGAACTGAAGTGCCTTTATGTACAAGAGGTTTGATCGAGGAGATAGTGCCTAGGTCTTGAAAGGCTTCTTTTATTTGCTCTGAGATTAAGTCTTTTTTACCCATTGGGGTGTTTCGAAGTCTAACTGACAAGAAGTTACGTTTGATATTAATTGGTATATACCCTTGAATATTTTGTTTAAAGATTGTAAGACCCTCAGTAGCATAGTACTGTTGTCTCTCTTCATCTGAGAAGATGACTTCTAAGTGAGATCTTTTGTTTTTAATAATAATAGGCTTAACCGCGATAAGGTCTTTACCCATTTTGTTTTGCATAGCTTCTACTATTTCTGCAGTAGAGATGTTTTCTAGATTGTGAATTTCGAAGATTAATGCATTCTCATTCTTGGTATGTAGTCTTTTTCTAGGAGAGTAAGTTGAATAGGTTGCTTTCCCTCTTTCAAGTTTTGCGAAAAGATCTGACCATTGCCTAGTTCTTGTGGCTATATTATGCGACTTAGATTGGTCATCAGCCAGATCCATCTCGTGACCATTATCTGTTACGTGGCCCTCTGGTTCTGCTTGTTGATCTGACACGTGATTGTTGTCAGCCACGTGTTCTGTTTGTTTTGCTAGATTTTGACGCGTATTATCTTGAGGGGCAAGTGAAGTGTTTTTTTCTCTTGCCACTGTTGTTTCTTTTGTAGTCTCACTTTCTGTTCTTGTATCTGTAACTACTTGTTTAATATTCAAGTCTTTAGAGTTATTGTTGTCTGCGTTCTGAGTGGTATTTTGAGAAACTTTAGCAAAATCTATGTTTTCTTTGTTCTCTGCTCCATCGTTAGAGGCTTTGTTTGTATCCAGGGTTCTTGCCTTCTTGACTTTTCTATCTTGCTTGGTTGTTGAAGTGTTTGGCATAGTTAGACAGGCTTGTTTTCGCTTCTTAGGTACAAGGGTTTTAGCCCTTGTTACGTGTTTAGTAAATAAATTCTGCGAGTTGCTGTTTATTTTGTATTTGGATATTCTCCACTTATAAAAAAGTGGAGTACCGGAGAGAGTTTTTTTTTCATTTAATAATATTCATTCCAATTAGTATATATTGTCTGCCATTATTGTATTTGTATCTCATGCCATCTTTTAGGGTGCTACTATAATACAATTTGTATCTCAAGCACAACCTTTCTAATTAGTTTTTCTAATACTTACTTTTTATTTCTTGTAAGGTTCATGATTTTAGTATTTATATTTGTATTTTATATTTTGGTTTTTAGTTTTTTAATTTAGATAGTTTAGGGTAATTGGTTTGCCTAAACCCAAAGGTCTTAATCTTAAGTCTGAAGATTTCCCAATTCTTGGTACAAGCTTTTGTAATACAAATCTTTTTTCTCTAGAGTCTTATTCTAGAATACATTTAGTTAATAGAGTAACTAATAAATATATATCTAATACAACTTTAGTGATTTTAGCAGCCTAGTTAATCCTTTTGCTCAAAGATTTTTGTTATCTAAATTCTCATTCCTAAACTGCTTCTGTAGCACTATTGAAAGCTACTAATCTTTACTTAGGATTTTCCCAAGCTGGTTTTGGATCACTAAATTTTGTATATAAGTATTTTTAATATTTTTCATTTCTTAGAAGACTTATTGTAAATTTGCACTACTTATACTGGTTTGCATTTCTTTATACAATAATACAAATGCTTTCAGAAGCTTTTAGCATCTAGAGATATTGGTATAACCTAGTAATAGGTTATAAACTCAACCTAATTTGAGAAATCTATTAATGTAATACAGATATTTTTGTCCAAAATATTACCAGTAAGATTTGAATTTAGTACTATAGTTAAGCTAACTTGGAAGGTACAACAACTCTACCACTTTACTAAGTTACCACACCCTTGAACTTAGTAATTTATTTGTTTGTTTATATATATTTAATATATATATTTATTTATATAACTAGTAATTAACATTTATATATAATATATATATTCACAAAACTTTAGCTTGTAAACTTCTATTTTAACTAATCAAATTCTAGCAAAAGAACTTTGCTAGAAAACAAGTTATATATTATATAAATCTAATTTAATTACAATACAGTCTGAGAATATCCCAAATTAGGAATCAGGATTTTAGAAAGATCTATGCAAAATTTTTACAATTTGATTAGTCTATGCTTACTTTTTTTTATCACTTCAACGTGAATTTTTATATTAATTGCTTAATACTAAAAAGTCTTAGAATATATAATATTTGACTTTTAGTTTTAATAATCAAAGTTAATCAGTTGAGTTTCACTTTATTAGCCAAAGTAAATAAAATCTCAAATTATGCATTCGTGTGTAGTTAATATATACAAAAGAACAGAATTTCACTATTTAAAACGTTTGCAATTTTTTTTTCTTATATATAGTGTCTACTTACCAAAGACCTAAAGTGCATATTCTCAAGTGCATTTTTACTGATTTTACTGAGCAGTATAAGGCATTTTATTTAAAACCTTGCAAAACCAGTAAATTACAAATGTAGCGACATGCTGATAGTGTGAATGTAGCTAAGAATCTTTTAAAATATTATGATTATATTCTTGAACTTGCTAAATATCATTTGTCTTTAGCAAATTATTCAATTTGTCAGATACATTACAATCAAGTAATTAATACTAATTAGTTTTATTAGTATATTATAAATTCTGTCCAATAAAGTCAACTTCATGCTAGCTATTTTAATCTGATAGTTGAACTTGACCAAACTAAATAGCTTTTAGAATTTGTACAAGTAAAAAATCAGCAAAAGTCCCAAGAGATAATAGCCCTTAATAACCAAATCGCACAAATGCAACAATATATAGAAAGCCAGAAGAATGAAATTAAGACATTAAGTGATCAATTACAAAAAGCTCATAATGATATTATTAAAGTTCAAAATTTGTATTCTGAACAATACAAACACAATAAGATCCTTATTAAATAGTGGAATTCAAAGATTTGCTAATCAACAAAAATGTATTAATACAATTGTGAAATAGCAAATGAGGAGTGTATATTATTTTTTGATGATATGAGAGTGTTAATTCAAGATAAAGATAAGTTCTCTATAGGAAATCTTGTACTATATAGTTCCGATAAGTGGTTTAATAAATGTAATCAAGTCGTTGTCAAATTCATCAAAAATCTTGTTAAAAATAATAGAAGCACTAATATTTTAAGTCAAGAAAAGCTTTTTAAAGTAGTTTCTGTGATTGATTCATTATAGTATATAACATAAAAAATATATATCAGAAATTTAGCTTGCTCTTTCGGCTATTAAGTAAAGTATTCAATTGCATGGTTAAAGATGATTATCAATATTGATAACCATATTACAAGTTCAGAAAGTTATTATCAGTTTCAAAAGTAGATAGAAAAGTTATCAAAGTATAAAGAACTATTACCTAAAGGTCTTTTGTTTCTTGCATTTGATAACAAATAGTAGAGATAGAAAAATTACCTTGATCAAGAATTTAATACTGTGATTTACTATATTGTTACAAGTTTTGTTGTTTTTAATATATCATCACAAAATAGAATCTAGCATATTACTAATTCATCTTGGGCATATAATTTTCTTAATACTCTATAGTATGACAAACTTTTTGAAGTTAGCCCTCAAATACAAGAAGTTGTCGACAAAGAATTATATAATTACCTTTTTCACTTGTTTTTAGGCAATATAATTTTGATAACAAATCAAGTTCAAGTTCTACTAATATTTCTAGAATCAGTATTACTTAGCGATGAGTTACTGATCAAGAAGTTAACATTCCTAACATTTATATTTCTGATCCAGTTAATATTAATTCCAATTCAATTGCTAATATTGAAAAAGTTCTTTTACATATAGAAACAATTATGAGAATTAAAAGTGAAGCTTGCAAGTAGATAGTGGTAACTTGTGATAGCATTCTATACTATCATACTCTAAAATTGAGAGAAAAATTTCTGTGGCTTGTTCTTATTTTAGAGCCATTGTCATGGGTTTCATGACATAGGAAATAGGGCTTTGATATTTTATTTATTTATTTATTTATTTATTTTATCCTTGTATTATTTATTTTGTTTATGTTAATTAATGGTTGTTAACAACTGTGAGTAATTGTGAGGGGACATGAACAATTGAAAATGGCCGTCAACAATTGTGAGTAATTGTAAGGAGTTGTAAACGATTGTTAGCAGCTTCCAACAAGTATACATAGTTGTAATTTAAAAGGGAACAATTGTGAGTAAAGAAAAGGGTAATAGCAGGTATTAGTAGGAAGTAAGGGGTAGAAATAGAAAATATTATAAGATGTATAATAGTCGTTATAGAATAAGAAAAAGTATTTAAAGACCATCATTTTCCATTAATAAAGTTTTCTTAGACTTCGATATCTTTAATGAAGTAGAATGAAAAGTCGAATTCTCACTTGATTAAATACAGTTTTCTATACTATTATTAAATGTTTTCTCTATTCATTATATTTTATTGTTTTTGTTATCATTTTTTTTATTTCCTTTATATTATTATTATTCTCGCATTGTTATTAAGTGTTATCTAAATTCTCTGACTAATCATATTAATATCTCACTATTATTATCTGAAAATAATCTTATTATCATATCCTGAATCTTTTGGTTTACTTATCTTAGATACATCCAAGTGTTTTACAAGCATTATTACAATTATACGCCACTTTTAGAATACCCTTAAGGTTATTCTAAATTACTTGCATAACCCAAATCAAGATTAATTTAACAAGAACCCAATCCTAACCACGTAAATAGTAACCATAATTCACATGCCTAGACTTTAATGAACAATATTTATAAGCTCTCTTAGTTTACTATTAGAGCTAAATTGGACTACATATCATATTCACTCTCTCAACAATAGTAATACTATTATATAAAAAGATGAATATGCTATGAGCATTTGTGGAGTTAAACTGGTTAGTTATAAATTTTTTACTACTGTACTATGAATTTTTATTATTAAATTAATGATTTAATTGTTGGATATCAAAATACTTGATTTGCTACATTGATCTAAATTCTGATTTTAAAGATTGCCCTGCTTTGTTTAAGATAATAGAAGTATGTGGGGTGAATTAAAAGATTGTTAACTTTGGAATTAAGAATTTTAATTACATGAAATGCTCTAGTCGATATTCTCTAAAATGCCAAAAAGACTATTAAAAATTAGCATTAACATTATATAATTAAATTCTATTTTAGGGAAATATATATAAAACAGTTTGCAAGATGCCAGAGCTATCAAACAGAGAATCAACTTTCATATTTCAAAAAGTGTGCAAATCATTATAAGTCTTGAGATTCCATTTGCAACATATTCTGTTAGACGATTTCTATAGAACTTATATGGCCATATATAAAAAGCAATTCTGAGATATCGGTTAAAGGATATCTTGCTTGGGTTAATAGTCAAGATTTACTATACAAGTTAAAATATAAACAGGTTAATTTAATTAATACTTTATTAAAAAAAAATTTCAAAATACTAAAATTACTTTTCATTATAATAGACATTCATTTATCTTCAAGCAATAATCAATTACCAGAAGACTATTAAAACTAAGCACATAGAACATTAACCCTACTAAAATCATACCACTTAGACATTATTTTACTTCAAGAAACAAATCTAGAAAAC